CTGTCACAGGCGGTGATGAAAAGCGCCACTGCGGCTGAACAATAAAGGAAATAGAAAGCAATGCTGATGAAACACAATACAGTAAAGGAAAAGAATGGCCGATGGAAATGGTTGTTTAGATCCCCAGTGGGTCATTCAATCGCCTGTGCCCTTGAACACATGGCTTTTGAGTGGAATAACTTATGATAAGTGGTATAATGCTGTTAAAGGGAGTGAGAGGGGTGTGTGTGTGTGTGTGTGTGTGTGTGTGTGTGTGTGTGAAGTGGACACTTCTTCCACCAAATATTCCACCAATATTCTGATTAGTTGACATGATTAGTTATTTGAGTCTATAAGAGTGAAAATGTATTTTTTAAAAGTTTTTATTGTTTAACTGTGTGTTAGAGTGCATAGATTTCCATTCTTTATCTGTTTGTCTGATGCTTACCCTGTTAACACTGGCATTAATTCATGCCTGGCATTCAGATTATTTATGCTGTCGACCCGTAAGTATTGTTTCATTTTCTATCTTTACACTGCTTAAAGCACCAGTGGCTGTGTTTTGAGTAATGCTGCACCAACACTTTTTTAATAGTTATATTTTATAAAGGCCGATGTGTCAGATGTTTATTAGCCACCCCCTAAACTGCACTGGCACTGTTATTAAAGCCACAGTGTGCATGGTGGTCTTACAACAGGGACTTTGGCACCTTGTCAACATGTTAGCTATGCTGATTTCTACAGATTTGGTCACCTCAATGATTATAGTCCATAATAGCATGAGCTGCGCTCTGGTTAACTGACAAAACTTGATTTGGCATATTAATTCCCACTGAATCACATATCAAAGGATATATTTAATTTTTAATTTTGCTTTGCAGCAGTTTCCACATGACAGGCGCAAAAGCAAACAGACTGAGAGAAAACGAAAAACACAAACAGCCACTTGGGAGGGGAGAAACAGTGCCATGGAGGGGGCACGGGAGGGGTGGGTGGGATGAGTACTACACAGTTATAATGAGAGGTTTGTGTGTGCATGTGTATTTTGTGCTATACATCATTGCACCACTGCCTGTTGTGATTGCCTGACCCAAGGTTTCAGCGCATTACCACCTTAACGGCTTTGTGGCTGGATTTATTCGTTGAGGGCACACACAAACCACACACAAACACACACACACATGTTTACACACAGACCCACCGCACTTTCTCGCTCACAGCTGGATGAGAGTGTCTCGCTGTCAAATGTATGCAGGTTGAGAATGGATTTTAAAATGTGGTGCCCATGAATAAAAACAGTCTTACCAGTGCTCATCTATTCTGCACAAAGAGGCTTCACAGTGTTTTTGTCTTCCACAGGCAAATTATCAGTACATATTTCATAATTAGAGTTTCAAACTCAATACAGTTATTTTGTCATATTGATTTTTATTTACATTGTAGGCATTGTAGGTGGTTCTTTTATTCATTTACAACCAGCTCTAACTTTCGGATTTCATGAGCTAAGAGTACAGTTCTTTTCTTAACTTGAAACTTTTTCCACTCTGTTTGCTTTGTCTATTTGCTTCCACGTATATTTTTTCTCTGACTTTGTGTGCAAAGAGCTGTCCCTAAAATTAGCATTCAGCCAGAATGAACCTTCACTCTCAGGGAAACTGGTAAAAGACAATTTAGTTTTTTCTTGAAAGACAATTACTATAGGATGGGAATAAATTAGAGAAATACTTTTTAATTATTGTTCAATGGATAAAATCTGTGTCCTCTGTAGACCTTACCCGTCCATCAAGTTTGACCTACCAGCAACGCCTGACAAAAAGAATTGTTAAAAATGAATTAACCACCTAAGTAAAAACTTAAAGTAAGAGCAACACCACATTGTCAAATTGCAGCCCAAAGGTTTTAAAACACACCATCAAGAGTTAAAATGTCTCTTTAGCAAGTTTTGAAAGACTCTCAGACTATCCTTTTCCATGCAGCCTGGGCACAAAGCTAACAAGTCATCTAAAGCTCTCAGTGGCAGAATTAAAACAGCTCAGCCCTTCACTCATCAGCACCTCCTTCTCTCTTGTGTAATGTCCTTCCTCCATCTGTCCCTCCCGTCCTCATGCTCCATTGAACTGTCCTTTCACAGGCTCCTTCACCACTGGGCTCTGATCTCGTCACTACAGCGGTTAGCTCCGATGTCATTGTTATCACACACACGTCTGTGATAGGCAGGAGAAAGCGTTCTCTGCGTCACTATTTGCCCTGTTGCCTTCTTCCAGCCCTCTGTTCTGTCTTTCTTTTTATTCCTCCCATTCTCATTGTTCCTTTTTCTTCTTTGTTCTGCTGTATGGTTGTCACTGACCCCCTTTTTGTGCTTCCCCATGAGTTTAAAGAAGTTTACTTGGGACTACGGCATGGTAGTAAATAAAAAGGGCACATTCACAACTATTCGGCTTTTGTCACACCTGTGCCTCTTTTTTTTTTAATGCTAAATATGAATTGCTGCAAGGCCGAAAGAAGGAAGCTTTGGAAAAACTATTTAGTCTCATAGGCAACCAGTCCTCGTGTCAAAATGCAGTCATACAGGAAGTATTGAGATCCTTATTTAAAGCCCTTACAAGAAACTTTCATTTTGTGTCTTCTTGCTGATGGTTTCATTTTTTATGTAGGTCATATAAAAGCATCAGTATTAAATTGAGACTGTTTCATAACCAATTAAAATCTCCTTGTAGTAGGTTTAAGTAAAAGTAACTACTCCTGCACCCATAAGCAAAAAAATTGTATCAGCATAAAGTACTGAACATATTAACATATGAAAAGTACTTATTATGCAGCAGGAGTGGTATATTATATTATTCCATCAGTAGTACTGATGCTTTACTGTGTAAGAAGCAATTTATATGAAGTTGGGTTCTTTAGATTATAATATCACATTATAAAAGCTCATATGTTTGATATTTAACATCTTGATCTTTAAATTAACTGTAACTGTCTGTCAAACATATATAATGCGGTAAAAAGTACTAGTAATATTGTCTCAAAAATGGAATGGAATATAATGAAGTAGAAAGTAAATACTAAATAAATAGAGGAAATATTTAAGTGAAGGCCAAGAACCTAAAAGCTGTACTCACATACAATACATGGGTAAGTGGATTCACTTTCCACCACTACCCCAACACGGTTTTCATCCAGGAAGGTCAAAGTGAATGGTCAAGTGGGTAGAGTTTCTCTGTCTTGCTCCCAGGCACTTCAGCAGATGCTTGACAACATCTGTCCAGCTGATTGTGAGGCATACACATGCCAACTCTAAGAAGACAAATGTTGAACATTTCTTTTGACAGTATGACCTGGATGTGGTGCAGACAGCCATCCAGATTTCAGGAACATCTCTCAAAACAAACGCTTTATTAAGTATTACAATTCACACATAACTGTTTGACTCTGGGGATAAAATGTGCAAAGAGCTGCCAGCTTTCATTGTGTTATGGTTGGCACTGTGCAGTACAACAGTAACAAGCACTGATGTCCACTGCTATCTTCCTCTTCCTCCCTGCCCTGGAAGGTTGAGAGGAGATCCGGTAATGACAGGAATTTAAAGGAGCCCCCGTGGCCCAACTCTTAACACCCAATAGGCTGGCCAGTCACACCCTGCACACACACTATCCCTCTCCCTCTTCCACACACACACACACACACACACACACACACACACACACTCAGACACAAACACACACCCCTGTTTTCTGCACTAGAATTAGCCGTTGGCTGCTCTCCAGTCACATCCGCTCAATAGTCCACCCTACCAAAAACCACCCCTCTCTCTTCTCATTGTTCACTGGAGCCGCACATTGCCACAGTCATAGTTGTGTCACAGCAATCAATCACCCGTCAACGTGAAACGGCTATACCAATACAAAGAAAACACAATACAACTGCACTGTAATTTCCCCCCAAACTCCTCCCTTACTATCACCTGACATCTGTCCTTTGGAATCTCCATCACACTGCTTGACCTCCATCTGGTCCTCTCTCTCTCTCTCTCTCTCTCTCTCTCTCTCTCTCTCTCTCTCTCTCCTTCTCCATCACTACATTCATTGCGCCCTCATGGTTGCATACAGACATCACACCACTTATCACCTCACTCTAATTCAGTCGCTCGATTCATTATCAAGTGGACGGCCCTCTCACACAAATGCAAACACTCGCACATGCAAGCATTTACACTTGCATTTACCCGAGGAAAATGTTCATGCACAAACACTACTGAGCTATAGAGCTCGATATGCAGATCAAATGTAATGTTTTTTGGTTATTTCAGTTTTTTCTTAATCCATTCTGACTGACAGTGTTGATACATTATTTCAGTAACACATTACACTCAAGTCAATTTTATAGCCCCAAATCACAAATCAATCTGAGCATGGCGGTATGAGTGACATTTTGCGCAGGAAGTTAGTCAATTAAGGGAAATTGGGATCACTAGGTGTATGTTTTTGGCCCACAGCCCACCATCAAGTTTCAGTTTTTGCCCTCCCAGTAAAATCGTTTTTGAACTAATAAATGTAATAGAAAGCTCACACACATATTTTTAAATGATCATTGACTTTTAGTCAACAAGGACTTTTTTTTCTTGAACTAAAAACGAACATAAAAAATCATTCATCAGCAATTCAGACATTATCATAGTCGTCATAATCATCATCATTTCACTGCTAATCATTATCACATCTATCATCTACCCATTATTCATTACTCCTTCTGTGCTCAGTATCATCCATCCATCCACTCATCCATCCATCCTTCCTTCCTTCCATCCATCCTTCCATCCATCCATCCATCCATCCATCCGTCCATCCATCCTTCCTTCCATCCATCCTTCCATCCATCCATCCATCCATCCATCCATCCTTCCTTCCATCCATCCATCCTTCCTTCCATCCATCTATCCATCCATCCATCTGTCCATCCATCCTTCCTCCATCCATCCATCCATCCATCCATCCTTCCATCCATCCACCTTTCTCAGTTCATACCTGGAGTTGGTCATGTCAGTCTGTCCTCCCTGACTCTTCTCCAGCCCGAGTTTGGTGAAAATCCCGACCAAAACCATGATTGCCACCACTCCACAGATAATATACACGATCATGTGGGTTCGATCCCGGTCTGGTTCCTCTTGGACTTCCGTGACGGGTTCCGCTGGTTTCCCGGTGTTTGCCCAGACAGGTGTGTCGTAGTTGGAACAGGAAGTCTGGTCCAAACTGTGTACTTTGAACTGGCAGCAGAAGCGGTAGAAGCAGGAACCACAACAGAACAGGTAGATACCTGCGTTACAGTTGAAGGGTGGGTCCCACTGACCCATGACATCATAGTAACCCCAGCAACGGTTACCGACAGTTGGGACTGTTTTGTCTTCCGCTTCTGGTGTAGGCGTTGCCAGCGCTGCTTCTGGCACCACAGAGGGCTCTGTTGTCTGGTTATTGACCTGGGCTAAAGCTTGACCTGACGGCCGAGAGTTCAGTCCACCCAGAGAGGTCAAACCCAGGAGAATAGCTAATGAGAGGCTTACCAACAGAGGATGCATGGAGGCGGCCATCTTGGATTCACTCCAATGTCTTGTGATGGCTTGGTGCTGATGTGTAATTGTTAATGATAGGCCCAAATTAAAGCTCTAGGTTTAAAAAAACAACAGTTGAATATCCTTCTTGCCCAGAGCTTTAAATTGTAGTCACTGAATTAATCTCTGAGCCTTTCAGATAGAAATCAGTGAGGGGGTGGGGAAGAAGATAGGGGAGAAGACAGAGCCTTCAATTAGCGTTGTGGGAGTGCACACAGTAACAGAAAGCTAAATTGTCGTCAAGGGGCAGAAGAACAAGTGAGTGAAAGAAATCAATCTCCCATCTCAACATGCTCCTAACAGGAGTGAATGAGTCCCTTGTGAGCAGGCACTCACATGTGCAGACACATCACAGTCCCTTGCAGTTTACTGTACAGTCTGTGTGTACCGTAGGTGTGTGTGTGTTTATCAAAGCAAATAAATATTCCGTAATTCAGGAAATGTCACCTTTCACAAAGCCATATGTCGTCGGCAGACAGCAGAGGCGGTTGAAGGCAAATCCAAATCCGGTGGCTTGGAGGGAATCCAGTTTAGGAGGGCGTGTTACGTACAAATGAACTTGCCTCTGGCATTTCCAGCAATACGCTCCCCCGCTGAGTGGATGAATAATCCGTGAAAAGTGAGAACTCTGGGTTCCTGGGCGCTATCAGAAAAAGAAGGCAGATTCCTCTAAAACTCACAGATAGTCACAGGCTCCCACATGAAAGGCTTTTCACTCCGGAGACAGACTCATATTCCTGAGTGGATAACAACTCTAATGCTCAACACTGGAGTCAAAGCAGTTCTGAAGTCCTGGCGAAAACTCTGAACAGAGTGAAGTGTTCCCTCTCAGAGCTTAACTGGCATCTATCATCCTCCTACTCTCAGTGTCACTGTTCAAAAGAGGCTTTTTTATTTTTGTAGTGGGCATCTTTTTCGATGCCACCTTGGTCCACTTTGGGGAGACGTTACTCCCACCTTGAGATATCTAGATCCAGTCTCTCAGCCCCTGATGTCTTTATGAGTGATATTAAATATTGAGCTTTTATTTTGTAAAGATTATGTAGGATATATCTCCTTCCTATTTCCAGCCAAAGACCCAACAGGTAACCACAGCTGTTCAATAGTCTTTAAAACATTACTCCAGTCTCTCGGCAAGCGGAAATCCTATGATGATAACAGTCCAAAAGCGTCCCTCTTGCACCTGAGGCGTGTTTTCTGTCACGCACACACACAATCACACGCACACACACTCTCACACACACTTTCACAAACAGCTCAAATCCCCCTGGTGACAGTGCTCTGTCAGTGTCAGTCTGTAGCTTTTAAGCGACACAAGGAGTCCAATGGCTTTTTGTTCCTCGGCGTGCGCGGGGGTCTCCTGTTGCTGTTTCTCCACTGACACCCCTCCTCTCCGTGGATCCCAGGGTCCGTAACAGACCCGGGACACCAGCTGGGTACTACTGTCTATCAGCCTGCACAGTCCTGCCCTACAAGTGCTAAGACTAAGGGGAGAGGAGAGAGGAGGAGAAAGGGAGAGGGGGAGGGCTGGTGTTGTGATACTGAATCTCTGATCTTAATGTCTTAGCGTTGCTGCACCCAAGACTCAAGAGAAGCTGTAAAAAGAGATGCTGGATTTACTTGACCACAGTGGAGTGTCCCACATAACGGATCTTGTGGCTTGTTCTTTGATGTTTTTTTTTTCTTTCTCCTTCCTTGGTTTGCTTTTGGCTCAGTTTTTGGTTATGTCTCTTTGTTTACACTCTGATCCTATTCTCCCTTTATGCTTCTCTTTGATATTTTTGCCTCTTTCTCTCTCCCACAACTTACCTCAACCCTTTCCTCTCTGCCCGAGCTGGGCTGTGTGGGCTTTTTGTCGATTGCTGAGGAAATATCAGCGTGGGGTCAGAGAGCCTGTGGACTGCCCTCTGCACTTTCAGCGGCGTGCTTGCACAAGCCTCACTGGAACAATGCTCTCCCTGCCCAATCGGACGACAGAGACAAGTGGAGATGCGACAGCCAAAACAGCCGTGTGGCAGCAAGGGCAGATCAAAAAATATCCTGTTTTCAAAAGAAGCCCCCTTGGAAGTATAGGACTGTCTGCAGCAGAAGCTCTTTGTTGATGTTATTGTTGTTGCTTTAACAACTCAGTGCCAGTTTCCCAAATTTTCCCTTTGCATCAATGTATTTTTTTGTCTTTTTTTCCCCTACTGAGCAAAAAATAAAAAATAAAAATATCAAAGCACTAATCTGCAACAGTTTTTAAGCAAATGCTGCATATGATCTGCAATTTTTCATTCAATAGATTTTGATGTCAATTCAGTCCTTGTCCGGCTGCAGCTTCTTTGAAAACAGGCATAATTTGATATATATGTATAGGAGTTTTATATATATATCATATGTATGTGTTTTCACTGGTGCTCTGCTTGTGGAATGCTGGGAAGAGAAAGGAGAAGCAATAAAATATATATATTTTTTATTCCATCCTTTCCCTTTGTTGTTGCTTCTTCATCAGCGTGTATTCCCTTATTTCCTCGCTGCCTCAGTGCGTCTGTATCCCGTCCGCTGGTGATGCCTGCGCTGCTGCTGCTGCTCTCTGGCATGCCTGTATGACAATGTCTCACACACACTCTCTCTCTTTCTCTCACTCCTCCCTCTCCAACTCACTCCTCCCTCTCTTGCTCACTCCTCCCCTCCCTCTCTGTGTTTCTCTCTCTCTCTCTCTCTCTCTCTCTCTCTCTCTCTCTCTCTCTCTCACACACACACACATCTTTTTGTGGGCAAATGAGCGCGGCTCTTGCTTGCTGACTCTCCCTTTCACTCTCCTCCTCTTTCTCTCATTATGTGTCACTGACACTCTCCTCTCCCAGTTTTGTCCCACGTTTTTTGCTTTATTTTTTGGCTCCCAACTATCAAAACTCACTTCTTGTCCTTTTTTTACGTTCCCTCCGTTCTTCTCCTCCTGTTCTTTTTTATCCATTCATCTCTGTTTACTTCCTGTTCGTCTAACCTTTTCAGTTTGCTTTGGCTGCCTCTCCTGCCCCCTTCCTTCTTTTTTTTTTCCCATTATTATTGAGCTATTCATCCCGTCTCCTTTCATCTTTTCCCTGATTCTCTTTCAGTTTTCTACCGTGCTACTTTCCTTTCCCAAAATGCCTGTCAGTCCAACAAATAAGAGCAATGGTGCCGACAGAGTGGCAGGTTGTAATGTGCAGGCATGCTTTCATGTGCAAGTGTGACGCATGTGTGTGTGTGTGTGTGTTTGTGGCTTGGTGAGTGTTTGCGCCTGTGCGTAATTACTGCACTAATACCACTGCACATCCTCGTCTTTGTGTGAGCACGTCTGGAACATGTGTGGTGCTGCAGTCTATAAGGGCTGATTTACGGAAAGAGAGAGAGAGAGAGAGGGATGGATGGATGGTGAGAGGGAGAGAGGGAAGGAGGAAGTGAGATTGAGGTAAACAGAGAGGAAGAGGGAGGCAGGAAGAGAGGGAGGGGAGGAGAGAAGTAGACAGCAGAGCGGTTGCCAAAGGGAGAGGAGAGAAGGGGGTTGACAGAGAGGAGCCGGGGAGGGAAAGAGGAGAGGAATTATCGCAGGGAAGGGAGGAGGATTAAGAAACATGGGGAAAGCAACTGGAATAGGAACTGACAGAGGGATAGTGGAGGGAGTGGGGGAGAGATATAGATAGGAAAGGAGGTGCAGACAGGTAGGAGGGGGAAAAAAGACAAGTTATCTCAAGGGAAAGTGACATATTAGACCTAGAGAGAAAGAGAGAGGGAATCGTATTCAGATAGAAATAGTCAAGGCTGGAGAAAATTCCCAGGAAATAGACTGTAGAGAGAGATGGAGAAGCAAAATGTTATGAATTTTGAATAATCCTGGTTATAATGTTGAATGTGAACTAGATTTTGAAGTGCCTTTGGGTGTGACCATGAACCAGGCATAATCAGAAAACACTGAGAGAGAAAAAGCAGCAAAAATGCAAAAAATACTGCTTAATATTTTATTCTGTTTGTAAGTGGCTAACATTATATTCATCTTAAATATTCATTTTTGCTAACTTTTTTTCCCCTGCATAAAAGCTTAAAAGCTTTTCTTTAATTTCCCTGTCACCCTTTCCTTTTTTATCTTTTTCTTTTCCCCCCTCACACACACTTACTACAGACTCTTTGTGTCTTTTTTGGTTGTTGTTTTTACTGGAAGAACCCCCAGCTCATCTTCGCTTGCCGTTTGTTCTCTGTCCAACCCTCTCGGCCTAAATTTGCTTAAAATCTTTGGCAAAGTGCATCAGGAGTTATGTCAAGAATACACACACACACACACGTACACTTACAAAATGCACACAAACACACTCCCATTCCTTCACTCTACAGTTACGTGATGCACCACAAATCAGCTAATCCCCCTCCTTCCTGCAGTCTGACATTAAAGTGTCCTCAGCACATTTTCTCTAATGGAAAGCAGGTCATTAATTTAAGAAAAGAAATCAAAGTTGGGGTGAATTCAGATTGGTCTACTGGCAATGGATGCACAGGACACATCTCAATGCTCACAGAGGCAGTGAGACATGGGAGCAAAGGGTGTTGGCTGGAAAGCGAGGTGGGAAGAAAAGAGGGATAAGATGGATGGAGAGGAAAAGAGATGGAATGAGAGGAGGAGTCCTAGGGGAGAGATGGAGGGCAGAGAGTACGGTTGAACAGGAGATCTGTCTTAAATCATCTCCCCCCCTCCCCCCCTTTCTCTCTTTCTCTCTCTCTCCTTCTCTCTGTCTCTGCTTGGCTGTGGTCTCATATTCTCCACTCGCTCTATCTGTTGTGTTATTTTTATTTTCTTTCTCTTGCATATCATACAATAATAATTTCATATATAAGTCTTAGGGTTGTAAGCTAGTAGGCTACTATCTGCATCATCTGTTTATGTCACAAAAATATCTGGATAGTGGAACCATGCCTACATCAGAAGTTGTTCCCCCAGATTACAGCCAGTCATGCTCCCTATACATACCACTTTGAGGTTATACAACTTTCTTCAAAACTGGAGGCTAACTTGAATGTTAAGTTGGTCTGAAGATTAAAAAAAAAATGAATAAGAAAGCTATTGACAAAAATGTGGAAAAAACTCCCAAGGCTCATTTTGCACGAACTTTGGAGACGGTCCCTAACTTCAGTTAGTCAGCTGCCCGTCTACAAGTCACTAACACCACCTGTGCAGCATGAGTCAAGCTTTGTCATGCGCTGACCAACAACTGTGGTGAAAACTGTTGTAATCTACTCAAAACTATCCACTCAGTGTTCTTTCAGCCATTCGCCTATGGATCCTGACACCAGTCACTTGTGCGGATTGTAGCAGACATCATGCAGATGTCTGTGTCATGTATATGAGAAGAAGTGCTGCGATGTCTGTGACAAACTGTCAATCTAATGACAGGTCAGTTGGGGAGGGGCAGCAGATCTAACTGCAGATGTTCTGCTGCTGCTCCTATCAGGGAAATGTATTCCTACCCATTTAGATCCCTAGCAAGGATTATTTATTTTGACACCTTTTACTGTATTCCATCTAAACGCAGGTGGCTTCATTTGGTGGATTTTCACAAGAGATCTTTCTGTCAGATGCTGACAAAGCCAATAAAAGGATGTTCTCTCTCCTCTCTTTTCTCTGCTCTGTGTATACCTTTTCTTTCTTCTCATCTACCACCTCTCGTCTTCACTTCCTCTCCCACTCCCTCCTTCATTACATTTTATAGAAAACTCAAGGAGGATGAACATTTTAAGTTTCCTCAAAGCCAACCTCATTCTTTCTCTTCATCTCAGTCGCCTGCTGCTTCCTCTGCCACTTCAAACCACATCGCCTCTTTACCTTCACTTTGTCCTCTCCTCAGCCTGTCTCTGTCTCTCACCTCATCTTCCCATCCTCTCATCAAACTGTCTCCCACATTTCTCAAATTCCAGTGTATGTGCCACACCACGCCACGCCTGTCACTCTCACTCTTTTTTCCTCGCTCTGTGTCACTCCTTTACTCTCTGACTGTCGCTCAGCATGTATTAGTTCAGGGTGGAGATGAACACGGAGAAAGAGCATCAAGTGAAGCATGTTATGTGAGGGTAACTCAGACAAGGCCATGAGAGGATACAGTGAGAGAGAGAGAAAGAGAGAGAGAGAGGGACATTAAGGAATCCAACATTAGTGGCAGGCCTTGAAAAATGAGAGAGAGAGACATTTAAGAGAAAGAAGGCAATGAAATAGTTACATATAAAAACATGTGAAGAGAGAAGATGAGTGGGGAGCAAGGCAAAGAGAGAAGGACATAGATCAAGTGATGAAGTTATATTGAAATAAAAGAGTTTGATGGCATCTGCAGGGTTGATGGATGTCTGCAGTTGTAGAAGTGTTTTTCTTTTTCTTTTTTTCACTGCCTTGTGCAGCACGGTCCCGAGCCAGTGCCCTCCTACAACCTCGTCCTTGACTGCAGAGGCCAGACATCGTATACCTGTTATTGATTCAGAGCTGGCACACACACACACACACACACACACACACACACACACACACACACACACACACACACACACACAGAGACACACACAAATTAATACTTTCTCACACACCTGAGCACACACACTCATGTACACAGATACAAACAAAGATATCGTGTTACTTAGAGGAGATGAAGACAGAGTTTAATGGGATGGAATTTAACGTTTATGCCCTACACTGTAATTAGGAGTGTTTGTGCCATGTGTGTCTGTACCTGTGTGTATGTGTGTGATTGCTACTTTATTTTATTGTGATTATCTTTTTGACCATGAGAAAGACTGCAGAGTAAGTATTAAAATTAAACATGGTGCTGATTCTGTTAAACCAGGCAGACATTGTACGGATTTTAGCCTTGAGTTGGTCACCTCACGCTAATTTAGGAATTGAGTCCTAAAGAATTTTTCGACATTGGTTTGTCGCATGTCAAACATTGTGGTCACCTGTTTTGCGGTTTGAGCAGTTCTACCATTCAATTTCTCACATGGCTGTCGTGAGCGGGTTTTAATGGTAATGGTTAAAACTGTCTTGACTGTTGCTATAAAACTGAACCTGCAGATCAGACAGAATATACTGTCTGCAACATCCCAAACATCTGCAGCACCATATTTTTCTTTTTTCTTCTTATTTTCCATTCAAATTAACGCTTCTTATTCTTTTTGTGTGTTGAGAACAGTTTTCTTGTTTGAATACACTTAACTGAAATTGTCAATAGACAAAAGTAATGTGATGTGTGAGCATAAAGTTGCAGGTTCTGATTACCTGATAACCTATTGTGACGTCAACCACTGGTTTGTGGAGACTTGAGTTTGGCATTATGGCCGTTGCCACGTTGTTGTTTTTTGCAGCCAGTGTTGCTTATTGGCTACACTTGGTTATGACTCGTCCATAGCAGAAAACAATGGCAGCTCACCTGGTCACATGTTCTCGTACAGATCATAAAATATGTTTCTGAAATATTGTCAAGAATATATAGAGAATCTGAATCAGAATTTTATTTTGATTCATATTGCAAAAGCACTGTCTAGTAGAGTGTGACATTGCTCACTCACTTTTTTGCTGAGAGATAGATGAGAAGACCGATACTACTT